AATTATTAGGAAATGGAAGACATACAAGACCACTGATAATCTCCCTCGATCTGGGGCTCCACGCAAGATCTCACCCTGTGGGGTCAAAATGATCACAAGAACGGTGAGCAAAAATCCCAGAACCACACGGGGGGACCTAGTGAATGACCTGCAGAGAGCTGGGACCAAAGTAACAAAGCCTACCATCAGTAACACACTACGCCGCCAGGGACTCAAATCCTGCAGTGCTAGACGTGTCCCCCTGCTTAAGCCAGTACATGTCCAGGCCCGTCTGAAGTTTGCTAGAGTGCATCCAGAAGAGGATTGGGAGAATGTCATATGGTCAGATGAAACCAAAATATAACTTTTTGGTAAAAACTCAACTCGTTGTGTTTGGAGGACAAAGAATGCTGAGTTGCATCCAAAGAACACCATACCTACTGTGAAGCATGGGAGTGAACACATCATACTTTGGGGCTGTTTTTATTCAAAGGGACCAGGACGACTGATCCGTGTAAAGGAAAGAATGAATGGGGCCATGTATCGTGAGATTTTGAGTGAAAACCTCCTTCCATCAGCAAGGGCATTGAAGATGAAACGTGGCTGGGTCTTTCAGCATGACAATGATCCCAAACACACCGCCCGGGCAACGAAGGAGTGGCTTCGTAAGAAGCATTTCAAGGTCCTGGAGTCTCCAGATCTCAACCCCATAGAAAATCTTTGGAGGGAGTTGAAAGTCCGTGTTGCCCAGCGACAGCCCCAAAAAACATCACTGCTCTAGAGGAGATCTGCATGGGGGAATGGGCCAAAATACTAGCAACAGTGTGTGAAAACCTTGTGAAGACTTACAGAAAACGTTTGACCTGTGTCATTGCCAACAAAGGGTATATAACAAAGTATTGAGAAACTTTTGTTATTGACCAAATACTTATTTTCCACCATAATTTGCAAATAAATTCATTAAAAATCCTACAATGTGATTTTCTGGATTTTCTTTCCTCATTTTGTCTGTCATAGTTGACGTGTACCTATGATGAAAATTACAGGCCTCTCTCATCTTTTTAAGTGGGAGAACTTGCACAATTAGTGGCTGACTAAATACTTTTTTTCCCCACTGTATGTGGGCTCTGGCTCTGGCCCAACCCCTCGGTTTCTGGGACCAATCAGAACTGTTAGAATGTGTTAGTGTTCTAGACATCGTCAGGGAGGGACTCAGATCCAGATTCACTGCTGAGAAGAAACTAACATCTGTGGGCGTGGCCTAGCAGGGGGTTTGGTTAGCCAGGCAAGCAGCATTGTGCATCCTCCAGAAACATACATCTCTTTTCCATAAAATATATGTTTGAATTTTCAAACTATATAGTTTTTATTTGGCAAGGCAAATAAAGCGTTTTTATCAAAAGCAAATCACTTTCGCATATGAAAACACGGAATCGTATTATTACTTCACTTGCCTAATTACATTACTGTTTTGAGCCGACTTCGCCGTGGCCTTTGAACGGGGTTGACTCACGGAGCTATCGCCTATTTGACTGCCCTGAGGAGTGATCTCCTCCTTCCTTGTCCCATAATCACCCAGGTCCTTTGTGGTTTCCACTAGATATCTCCAATACTGTGTGATTGCTATCAACAATTCGGGGCGTTTCTGCATCTGCAGGCAGGCCTCACCCCCCCCCTCGAGCGTCCCATTTAATAATAATAATAATAATTTGTTCCTGCATGAACGCCCCCCGCTCTAGCACGTCATGAACACTTTTTTTTTTTTTTTCATGTCATTTTTAGCAGACGCTCTTATCCAGAACGACTTACAGTTAGTGAGTGCATATATGTTTTTGTTGTTTTCTTACTGGCCCCCCGTGGGAAACGAACCCACAACCCCTGGCGTTGCAAGCGCCATGCTCTACCAACAGAGCTACACGGGAGTATGTGTACACGAAACACTTGATATTCTGGATTTCCCCTGATTGTCTATGCGATTAAAATGTGGGTCAAATGGGAAATGAAAGTATTATCGGAATGTATACTATATTGGAGTACCCGCCTGCTGTGTACCGGAGTCATAGTTTAAAAAATTACTAACAGAAGTATAAAGAGGGATTCCTGCAGATGGAGGAATACCCACATGAAGGAATGCCCCGAATTGCGGACCGCAATTACACCCTTCTCGATACAAACACAAAGTCAAAATTGGCTATATTGTAAAAATTCATGAAAAAAAAAAAAAGTTCTTTTTTTGTCTTAATTTAAGGTTAGGATTAGGAATAAGGTTAGCAGTGTGGTTAAGGTTACGGCTAAGGTTAGGTTTAAAATCAGATTTTAAGAAGATAAATTGTAGAAATAGTCAGAGTTTATGACTTTGTGGCTGTGGTAACTAGTGACCACCCATTGACGACGCGTGGGTAACGTACACAATGAGCGGTAATACAATTCCAATGGAGTTTCCCATCTCATCAAAAGTATCTCTGATGTTACGCAATCTTACTGTCGCGTATTACACTGTACTTACGGGTCTGCTTATTGCTTATTTTGCTGTTACAAGGACTTCCTGAAAACACACCACTTAGATACAACTACGACCAGAAGTGATTTTCGTAGCTGGGTAGGAGAGCGTTTTCGCCAACCCTAACGCTTTTCCTAACCTTAACCTCATTCTCCTAAGTATGCGCTCCAGCAGGTATATCTCACTGGTCATCCCCAAAGCCAACACCTCCTTTGGCCGCCATTCCTTCCAGTTCTCTGCTGCCAATGACTAGAACGAACTGCAAAAATCTCTGAAGCTGGAGACTCTTATCTCCCTCACTAACTTTAAGCATCAGTTGTCAGAGCACCTTACCGATCACTGCACCTGTACACAGCCCATCTGTAATTAGCCCACCCAACTACCTCATCCCCATATTGTTATTTATTTTGCTCATTTGCACCCCAGTATCTCTATTTGCACCTAATCTCTTGCACATCTATCATTCCAGTGTTAATACTATTGTAATTATTTTGCACTATAGCCTATTTATTGCCTTACCTCCATAACTTGCTACATTTGCACACACTGTATATATATTTTCTGTTGTATTTTTGACTTTATGTTTTGTTTTACCCCATATGTAACTCTGTGTTGTTGTTTTTATCGCACTGCTTTGCTTTATCTTGGCCAGGTCGCAGTTGTAAATGAGAACTTGTTCTCAACTGTCTTACCTGGTTAAATAAAGGTTAAATAAATAAAATAAAAAATAAACTGCTACGTTAATTATCCTAACCTGCTGCGTAAATTCTTCTAACCTGCTAGAAAAAGTCAATTCCGGTTATAGCTGCATCGAAGTGACGTGTTTTTAGGGAATCTCATATGCAAGAATGCATACAAGGTTCTCTGAAACATGATTGTGACAGAGAGCGGTTTCAGTTTTACTGCACACACCAAAACCAAGGACAGCGGAACGTTTTGGGGTTGCTTTCTGTTTTCGGAAATAGTAGTGTAGACTGTGCAGTGTAACACCACCAACTATATTTGGCTTCCATAAACAGTTGGATATTGGACAGTTACTTTCCTAATGTAGTGATAAAAATAAGCAATTTCACAACTCGAAGACAGAGTTCTTTTAAAGTAGATGTATTTATTTACCAATAAATAGTACTCCAGTATAAAAACATGCACTTCAAGCAGAAAAGCTACATAAAACAAGTAAAATGAGGATAAACAAATCCCATTTCTCTGACATGGGGGATTGGAAATGATGCAGACAATTACATTGATAGAAGCCACAATCTAGCTGCAATATTAAAGCTGATCTACCCCCTAAAATGTTGTAATAAAAACATTTTAAAAAATACACTTCCCTTCTTGCAGTTATAAACCTTTTGTCAAATGATTAAAAATCAATTATAAACATTGTTCACAGTATATTGTATTGTAAACGGCACACATTGTGCAGGTCACAGTCTATAACCTTCACCCCTCTATCCAGCTATCTATCCAGCTATCTATCCAGCTATCTATCCAGCTATCTATCCAGCTATCTATCCAGCTATCTATCCAGCTATCTATCCAGCTATCTATCCAGCTATCTATCCAGCTATCTATCCAGCTATCTATCCAGCTATCTATCCAGCTATCTATCCAGCTATCTATCCAGCTATCTATCCAGCTATCTATCCAGCTATCTATCCAGCTATCTATCCAGCTATCTATCCAGCTATCTATCCAGCTATCTATCCAGCTATCTATCCAGCTATCTATCCAGCTATCTATCCATCTATCTATCCAGCTATTCTATCCAGCTATCTATCCAGCTATCTATCCAGCCTATCTATCAGCTATCATCCACTATCTATCCCAGCTATCTATCCAGCTATCTATCCAGCTATCTATCGCATCATCCAGCTATCTATCCAGCTATCTATCCAGCTATCTATCCAGCTATCTATCCAGCTATCTATCCAGCTATCGATCCAGCTATCTATCCAGCTATCTATCCAGCTATCTACCAGCTATCTATCCAGCTATCTATCCAGCTATCTATCCAGCTATATATCCAGCTACTAACCAGCTATCTATCCAGCTATCTATCCATCTATCTATTCCATCCATCAATTCATAACTTCCTTTATCCTTCTTTCATCCTCATCCTCATCCATTAATTATATTTTCATCCTCATCCTCAATCCATTTAATATATTCTTTCATCCTCATCCTCAATCCATTTAATATCTTCTTTCATCCTCATCCTCAATCCATTTAATATATTCTTTCATCCTCAATCCTCAATCCATTTAATATCTTTTCATCCTCAATCCTCAACCCTTTATTATTAGTATTATTATTTAACCCTTAGTTGACTGACAACACATATCCAAACTCAAGCAAACCTAAAGCATATGAATCCTTGTGATTGGTTCAACCTTGCTTCGTTATGGAACATCCCCGGTCGGTCCTGTTTTGTGCATTAGCTTCATTACTCAGTGAGTCTCTCCTACTCTGAAATGATAGAATCCAGTCTTCTTTTCCCTCTGCTCTTCGTCTTCTTGGTTTACAGTACTTTGTGCTTCATCCTCCTCAGGAATTTCTGTAGTTTTAGCCTCAGGCCAGAGTGCCCTGATGGAGAGCTAGAGGACAGGAGAGGAGGGAGAAAGAAACAGAGCAGGCAGAGAGAGAGAGAGAGAGAGAGAGAGAGAGAGAGAGAGAGAGAGAGAATGACAATTTAGTCATTTAACAGACGTCTGACCCTAAGAAGGAAGCTGTACTAGCTGCATGATACGATCATATATACGATCATCGTAAGGAAACCGTCACCTAAAGTAATATCGCAGTACAACAATACAACTGACGCAGAGAGAGATCAAGACAAATAGATATAGCCATACAGAAAGGGAGAGAAGCCGAGATAGAGAGAAAGAGAGATACGAGAGAGAGAGAGAGAGCGAGAGAAAGCAGGGAGCGCAGCAAAAGAGAGAGAAAGAGAGAGTGATAGCAAAAGAGAGAGAAAGAGAGATACGAGAGAGAGAGAGCGAGAGAAAGCAGGGAGCGCAGCAAAAGAGAGAGAAAGAGAGATACGAGAGAGAGAGAGCGAGAGAAAGCAGGGAGCGCAGCAAAAGAGAGAGAAGAAAATAAGTGGAAAAAAATCAGAGAGCAGAGGAAGGTTTGTAAATCAGTCTGTCCGTCCATCCACCTTCGCTTGGGGTACTCACCATTCATACTGTGTAGTGGTCTGTGTCTGTCTGTTAGCTCCCATCCACTCTTTCTCCTCTTCCTCCTCCTCCTCCTCCTCCTCCTCCTCTTCCTGTTGTCTGTCTAGTATCTGGTCCCAGATCTCAGTGTTAACCCACAGCGATCCCGACAGGGTGAGGATGGGCACGGTGCAGGTGATCCAGCGGCACAGGGGGCAGCGTACTGTAAGCAGGCCGCTCTGGAGACTGGACATGGTCTGTAAGCACGGCCCACAGAATGTGTGCTTACAGTGGAGCATCCGAGGGATCTTCTCCGTGCGAGAGTAGGGCTGGAGGCAGATGCAGCACTCCATGTCCTCGCTCGTCAGACCCATGGCTAGCTGGCTGGGGTGCGGATGGACGGACGGATGGACGGCTGGAGCACAGAGGAACTCTGGACGGAGAGTCAGTATCTGGGCAGGAAGACGTGGGGTTTAAACGCTGGTTTGAGGTCAGTTTTCCCCTTGTGGTTTATTAAGGTCCTGGTTTGGATTTGATGATGGTCAGAAGATCCTAGACCTGTGCTTAGGAGCGTCGGTCAGGAAGCTGCAAAATACATTATCATGTTAAATTAAAACATGTTCAAATTAGACTCAGTGACTTCATCACTGGCACTATGTTAACGTATCTAATATAAAAATATATCTTAAATCAACAGGCTGTCAGGTTTTTCTGAAAGATGTGAAGAAAAATATCCCACAGATTTCTAACATCCATAACTTTAAGATTTAGACAAACCTTTTCATTTTTATCATTATCAATAATAGGCAAGCTTTTACTTACAGGTTCTGGAAGATTCTCAGCACAGCGACTAACTATTCAACGACAAAACTTTGTGTGTGAGAGAGAAGCAATACTTGCAATACTGTCTGCCTGTGTGTGTGTGCTTTCGTTTTAAGCCTTAGGGGGAGGAGACATAATTCAGTTATTTTCATCAAAGTGCAATCTCGCACCTCCTCCACTCTCAGGTGTCAGGTAAGTTCCATGGAACGAGTAAAACCGTTCAGGTGAAAGCTATGATACCTTATTGATGTCACTTGTTAAATCCACTTCAATCAGTGTAGATGAAGGGGAGGAGACATGTTAAATAAGGATTCTTAAGCCTTGAGACAATTGAGACATGGATTCTGTATGTGTTCCATTCAGAGGGTGAATGGGCAAGACAAAATATTTAAGTGCCTTTGAATGGGACATGGTAGTAGTTGCCAGGCGTACCGGTTTGTGTCAAGAACTGCAACGCTGCTGGGTTTTTCACACTCAACAGTTTCCCGTGTGTATCAAGAATGGTCTACCACCCAAAGGACATCCAGCCAACTTGACACAACTGTGGGAAGCATTGGAGTCAACATGGGCCAGCATCCCTGTGGAACGCTTTCGACACCTCGTAGAGTCCATGTCCCGACGAATTGAGGCTGTTCTGACGGCAAAAGGGGGTGCAACTTAATATTAGGAAGGTGTTCCTAATGTTTGGTATACTCAGTGTACGTCCAGTTTAAAATAGATACATCTTATTTGTAGGGGCATTTTCACTGTAGGGGGGGGGGTATTACTTGTAAACTCAGATCTTGTGGACTTATAGAACATTATCTGTGGTCTTGTAGACTCCTGTGTACGTGCCTGGTCATTGTAGTGGTTATGTACAGAATCAGTTCAATGGAAGCAGTATATCTTCTAGATAAGAATCAGTGGCACAGTTCATTGGAAGCAGTTTGTTGTTGTTTGATCCCCTGCTGATTTTGTACGTTTGCCCACTGACAAAGAAATTATCAGTCTATCATTTTAATGGTAGGTTTATTTGAACAGTGAGAGACAGAATAACAACAAAAAATCCAGAAAAACGCATGTCAAAAATTTTATACATTGATTTGCATTTTAATGAGTGAAATAAATATTTGACCCCTCTGCAAAACATGACTTAGTACTTGGTGGCAAAACCCTTGTTGGCAATCACAGAGGTCAGGTCTTGTAGACTCCTGTGTACGTGCCTGGTCATTGTAGTGGTTATGTACAGAATCAGTTCAATGGAAGCAGTACATCTTCTAGATAAGAGTCAGTGGCACAGTTCATTGGAAGCATTATCACTTCTAGATAAGAGTGGCACAGTTCATTGGAAGCAGTTTGTTGTTGTAAACAACCACAGGTCAATGTCACACAACTTCAGTAGAAATCTTGTAAACAACCACACTAACAAGTGAAATAGAAAACAGTCTCCCTGTTGAAACTTGTAATAAACCGGATTCATTTTTAATTGACCTGTGATTGCTCTACCTTTTGTTTACCAGGAAATCCCTACCACACACCTGTCTATTCACAATGTCAGCTACGCACGCACAACAGACGCACAACAGACACACAACAGACGCACAACAGACGCACAGCAGACACACAACAGACGCACAACAGACACACAACAGACGTGCAACAGACACACAACAGACGCACAACAGACGCACAACAGACGCACAACTGACACACAACAGACGCACAACAGACGCACAACAGACGCACAACAGACACAAAGTAAAAAGAACCAGCAAACATTTGTTCTTTAAAATCGCCTGCCAAGCAGGGTAATTTATTCACGTGAACAAAACATACCATTTCACGAGATTATTAAGCATGGAATATGGGTGTTGTAACTCACAAAAGAATTACTATCATTAAAGGGCCAGAACAAGAGACCGAAATAACTTTGTCAAAGTCTTCCGCTAGTCTCTAGCAGTTATTTTTATCTGCTTCCTGAAATAATGAGTAAGCTACACACTAAAACAACGTATGCTAAATGACAGTAAATGATGAGTCATTCTGCTAGCCAGGGACAGAGCTACAGTGAGTTTTCACATTAACCAGCTCTACCATCAGCCCTGTTTGGTTAGACAGCGACTTTGTCCCAAATGGCACCCTATTCCTTATATAGTGCACTAGGACTCTGGTCAAAAGTAGTGCACTGTGTAGGGAATAGGGTACCAAATTGGGACGCAGCCAGGGACAACAGAGCTGCCTACTTCTCTAACAGACAGCCACCGCAAGGCTACAATTATCAAGAAAAATAAACAGAAAAAGGAGCAATAAAATATACATATTAAACACAGTCTATATATAGAGCCTATATAGACTAATGTGTCTTCATTATGGTCTATATAGACTAATGTCTCTTCATTAGGGTCTATATAGACTAATGTCTATTCATTAGGGTCTATATAGACTAATGTCTCTTCATTAGGGTCTATATAGACTAATGTCTCTTCATTAGGGTCTATATAGACTGTTGTCACCTCATTAGGGTCTAAATAGACTGTTGTCACCTCATTAGGGTCTAAATAGACTGTTGTCACCTCATTAGGGTCTATATAGACTGTTGTGTTCTTGCTTAACTGGTCAGCTAAATCCATTGGATATTTAAACATATTGGTCTCTAAATCCCTGTCTCAGTTAGGGAGACACGGCGCTGGACTGAACCGAACCGCTGGACTGAACTGCTGGACTGAACTGCTGGACTGAACTGCTTGGCTCATGGGTTGACTGACTGACAACAAACACTAGCCAAGACGAGTCTACTCATTTTACATTTACATTTTAGTCATTTAGCAGACGCTCTTATCCAGAGCGACTTACAGTTAAGTGAGTGCATACATTATTATTTTATATATATATATATTTTTTTTCAAACTGGCCCCCCCGTGGGAATCGAACCCACAACCCTGGCGTAGCAAACGCCATGCTCTACCAACTGAGCTACATCCCTGCCGGCCATTCCCTCCCCTACCCTATATATATATATATACAGTAAGGGAAAAAAGTATTTGATCCCCTGCTGATTTTGTACGTTTGCCCACTGACAAAGAAATTATCAGTCTATCATTTTAATGGTAGGTTTATTTGAACAGTGAGAGACAGAATAACAACAAAAAATCCAGAAAAACGCATGTCAAAAATTTTATACATTGATTTGCATTTTAATGAGTGAAATAAATATTTGACCCCTCTGCAAAACATGACTTAGTACTTGGTGGCAAAACCCTTGTTGGCAATCACAGAGGTCAGGTCTTGTAGACTCCTGTGTACGTGCCTGGTCATTGTAGTGGTTATGTACAGAATCAGTTCAATGGAAGCAGTACATCTTCTAGATAAGAGTCAGTGGCACAGATCATTGGAAGCATTATCACTTCTAGATAAGAGTGGCACAGTTCATTGGAAGCAGTTTGTTGTTGTAAACAACCACAGGTCAATGTCACACAACTTCAGTAGAAATCTTGTAAACAACCACACTAACAAGTGAAATAGAAAACAGTCTCCCTGTTGAAACTTGTAATAAACCGGATTCATTTTTAATTGACCTGTGATTGCTCTACCTTTTGTTTACCAGGAAATCCCTACCACACACCTGTCTATTCACAATGTCAGCTACGCACGCACAACAGACGCACAACAGACACACAACAGACGCACAACAGACGCACAGCAGACACACAACAGACGCACAACAGACACACAACAGACGTGCAACAGACGCACAACAGACGCACAACAGACGCACAACAGACGCACAACAGACGCACAACTGACACACAACAGACGCACAACAGACGCACAACAGACGCACAACAGACACAAAGTAAAAAGAACCAGCAAACATTTGTTCTTTAAAATCGCCTGCCAAGCAGGGTAATTTATTCACGTGAACAAAACATACCATTTCACGAGATTATTAAGCATGGAATATGGGTGTTGTAACTCACAAAAGAATTACTATCATTAAAGGGCCAGAACAAGAGACCGAAATAACTTTGTCAAAGTCTTCCGCTAGTCTCTAGCAGTTATTTTTATCTGCTTCCTGAAATAATGAGTAAGCTACACACTAAAACAACGTATGCTAAATGACAGTAAATGATGAGTCATTCTGCTAGCCAGGGACAGAGCTACAGTGGGTTTTCACATTAACCAGCTCTACCATCAGCCCTGTTTGGTTAGACAGCGACTTTGTCCCAAATGGCACCCTATTCCTTATATAGTGCACTAGGACTCTGGTCAAAAGTAGTGCACTGTGTAGGGAATAGGGTACCAAATTGGGACGCAGACAGGGACAACAGAGCTGCCTACTTCTCTAACAGACAGCCACCGCAAAATATACATATTAAACACAGTCTATATATAGAGCCTATATAGACTAATGTGTCTTCATTATGGTCTATATAGACTAATGTCTCTTCATTAGGGTCTATATAGACTAATGTCTCTTCATTAGGGTCTATATAGACTAATGTATCTTCATTAGGGTCTATATAGACTAATGTCTCTTCATTAGGGTCTATATAGACTAATGTCTCTTCATTAGGGTCTATATAGACTAATGTCTCTTCATTAGGGTCTATATAGACTAATGTCTCTTCATTAGGGTCTATATAGACTAATGTCTCTTCATTAGGGTCTATATAGACTAATGTCTCTTCATTAGGGTCTATATAGACTAATGTCTCTTCATTAGGGTCTATATAGACTAATGTCTCTTCATTAGGGTCTATATAGACTAATGTCTCTTCATTAGGGTCTATATAGACTAATGTCTCTTCATTAGGGTCTATATAGACTGTTGTCACCTCATTAGGGTCTATATAGACTGTTGTGTTCTTGCTTAACTGGTCAGCTAAATCCATTGGATATTTAAACATATTGGTCTCTAAATCCCTGTCTCAGTTAGGGAGACTCACGGCACTGGACTGAACTGCTGGACTGAACCGCTGGACTGAACTGCTGGACTGAACCGCTGGACTGAACTGCTTGGCTCATGGGTTGACTGACTGACAACAAACACTAGCCAAGACGAGTCTACTCATTTTAGATTTACATTTTAGTCATTTAGCAGATGCTCTTATCCAGAGCGACTTACAGTTAAGTGAGTGCATACATTATTATTTTATATATATATATATAATTTTTTTCATACTGGCCCCCCCGTGGGAATCGAACCCACAACCCTGGCGTAGCAAACGCCATGCTCTACCAACTGAGCTACATCACTGCCGGCCATTCCCTCCCCTACCCTATATATATATACAGTAAGGGAAAAAAGTATTTGATACGTTTGCTCACTGACAAAGAAATTATCAGTCTATCGTTTTAATGGTAGGTTTATTTGAACAGTGAGAGACAGAATAACAACAAAAAATCCAGAAAAACACATGTCAAACATTTTATAAATTGATTTGCATTTTAATGAGTAAAATAAATATTTGACCCCTCTGCAAAACATGACTTAGTACTTGGTGGCAAAACCCTTGTTGGCAATCACAGAGGTCAGACGTTTCTTGTAGTTGGCCACCAGGTTTGCACACATCTCAGGAGGGATTTTGTCCCACTCCTCTTTGCAGATCTTCTCCAAGTCATTAAGGTTTCGAGGCTGACGTTTGGCAACTCAAACCTTCAGCTCCCTCCACATATTTTCTATGGGATTAAGGTCTGGAGACTGGCTAGGCCAGTCCAGGACCTTAATGTGCTTTTTCTTGAGCCACTCCTTTGTTGCCTTGGCCGTGTGTTTTGGGTCATTGTCATGCTGGAATACTCATCAAAGACCCATTTTCAATGCCCTGGCTGAGGGAAGGAGGTTCTCACCCAAGATTTGATGGTACATGGCCCCGTCCATCGTCCCTTTGATGCGGTGAAGTTGTCCTGTCCCCTTAGCAGAAAAAAACCCCCAAAGCATAATGTTTCCACCTCCATGTTTGACGGTGGGGATGGTGTTCTTGGGGTCATAGGCAGCATTCCTCCTCCTCCAAACACTGCGAGTTGAGTTGATGCCAAAGAGCTCCATTTTGGTCTCATCTGACCACAACACTTTCACCCAGTTCTCCTCTGAATCATTCATATGTTCATTGGCAAACTTCAGACGGCCCTGTATATGTGCTTTCTTGAACAGGGGGACCTTGCGGGCGCTGCAGGATTCCAGTCCTTCACGGCGTAGTGTGTTACCAATTGTTTTCTTGGTGACTATGGTCCCAGCTGCCTTGAGATCATTGACAAGATCCTCCCGTGTAGTTCTGGGCTGATTCCTCACCGTTCTCATGATCATTGCAACTCCACGAGGTGAGATCTTGCATGGAGCCCCAGGCCGAGGGAGATTGACAGTTCTTTTGTGTTTCTTCCATTTGCGAATAATCGCACCAACTGTTGTCACCTTCTCACCAAGCTGCTTGGCGATGGTCTTGTAGCCCATTCCAGCCTTGTGTAGGTCTACAATCTTGTCCCTGACATCCTTGGAGAGCTGTCAGGGACAAACATGGAGGTGGAAACATTATGCTTTGGGGGTGTTTTTCTGCTAAGGGGACAGGACAACTTCACCGCATCAAAGGGACGATGGACGGGGCCATGTACCGTCAAATCTTGGGTGAGAACCTCCTTCCCTCAGCCAGGGCATTGAAAATGGGTCTTTGATGGGTATTCCAGCATGACAATGACCCAAAACACACGGCCAAGGCAACAAAGGAGTGGCTCAAGAAGAAGCACATTAAGGTCTAACAACTACAACTACGACCAGAAGTGTTTTTCGTAGCTGGTTAGGAGAGCGTTTTCGCCAACCCTAACGCTTTTCCTAACCTTAACCCTAACCTTAACCTCATTCTCCTAAGTCTGCGCTCCAGCAGGTATATCTCACTGGTCATCCCCAAAGCCAACACCTCCTTTGGCCGCCATTCCTTCCAGTTCTCTGCTGCCAATGACTGGAACGAACTGCAAAAATCTCTGAAGCTGGAGACTCTTATCTCCCTCACTAACTTTAAGCATCAGTTGTCAGAGCACCTTACCGATCACTGCACCTGTACACAGCCCATCTGTAATTAGCCCACCCAACTACCTCATCCCCATATTGTTATTTATTTTGCTCATTTGCACCCCAGTATCTCTATTTGCACATCATCTCTAGCACATATATCATTCCAGTGTTAATACTAAATGTAATTATTTTGCACTATAGCCTATTTATTGCCTTACCTCCATAACTTGCTACATTTGAACACACTGTATATATATTTTCTGTTGTATTTTTGACTTTATGTTTTGTTTTACCCCATATGTAACTCTGTGTTGTTGTTTTTATCGCACTGCTTTGCTTTATCTTGGCCAGGTTGCAGTTGTAAATGAGAACTTGTTCTCAACTGTCTTACCTGGTTAAATAAAGGTTAAATAAATAAATAAAAAAAATAAACTGCTACGTTAATTATCCTAACCTGCTGCGTAAATTCTTCTAACCTGCTAGAAAAAGTCAATTCCGGTTATAGCTGCATCGAAGTGACGTGTTTTTAGGGAATCTCATATGCAAGAATGCATACAAGGTTCTCTGAAACATGATTGTGACAGAGAGCGGTTTCAGTTTTACTGCACACACCAAAACAAAGGACAGCGGAACGTTTTGGGGTTGTTTTCTGTTTTCGGAAATAGTAGTGTAGACTGTGCAGTGTAACACCACCAACTATATTTGGCTTCCATAAACAGTTGGATATTGGACAGTTACTTTCCTAATGTAGTAACACCAGTAACTACGACGACGCCAGGACAGCGGAGTCACTGACCACCTTCCTGAGACACTTGAAACCCTACCTCTTTAAGGAATACCTGGAATAGTATAATTTGTAAGTCGCTCTGGATAAGAGCGTTTGCTAAATTACGTAAATGTAAACTATATTTGGCTTCCATAAACAGTTGGATATTGGACAGTTACTTTCCTAATGTAGTGATAAAAATAAGTAATTTCACAACTCGAAGACAGAGTTCTTTTAAAGTAGATGTATTTATTTACCAATAAATAGAACTCCAGTATAAAAACATGCACTTCAAGCAGAAAAGCGAAATAAAACAAGTAAAATGAGGATAAACAAATCCCATTTCTCTGACATGGGGGATTGGAAATGATGCAGACAATTACATTGATAGAAGCCACAATCTAGCTGCAATATTAAAGCTAATCTACCCCCTAAAATGTTGTAATAAAAACATTTAAAAAATACACTTATACAGGTTATATATACAGGTTATAAACCTTTTGTCAAATGATTAAAAATCAATTATAAACATTGTTCACAGTATATTGTATTGTAAACGGCACACATTGTGCAGGTCACAGTCTATAACCTTCACCCCTCTATCCAGCTATCTATCCAGCTATCTATCCAGCTATCTATCCAGCTATCTATCCAGCTATCTATCCAGCTATCTATCCAGCTATCTATCCAGCTATCTATCCAGCTATCTATCCAGCTATCTATCCAGCTATCTATCCAGCTATCTATCCAGCTATCTATCCAGCTATCTATCCATCTATCTATCCATCTATCTATCCAGCTATCTATCCAGCTATCTATCCAGCTATCTATCCATCTATCTATCCATCTATCTATCCATCTATCTATCCAGCTATCTATCCAGCTATCTATCCATCTATCTATCCATCTATCTATCCATCTATCTATCCAGCTATCTATCCAGCTATCTATCCAGCTATCTATCCAGCTATCTATCCAGCTATCTATCCAGCTATCTATCCAGCTATCTATCCAGCTATCTATCCAGCTATCTATCCAGCTATCTATCCAGCTATCTATCCAGCTATCTATCCAGCTATCTATCCAGCTATCTATCCAGCTATCTATCCAGCTATCTATCCAGCTATCTATCCAGCTATCTATCCAGCTATCTATCCAGCTATCTATCCAGCTATCTATCCAGCTATCTATCCAGCTATCTATCCAGCTATCTATCCAGCTATCTATCCAGCTATCTATCCAGCTATCTATCCAGCTATCTATCCAGCTATCTATCCAGCTATCTATCCAGCTATCTATCCAGCTATCTATCCAGCTATCTATCCAGCTATCTATCCAGCTATCTATCCAGCTATCTATCCAGCTATCTATCCAGCTATCTATCCAGCTATCTATCCAGCTATCTATCCAGCTATCTATCCAGCTATCTATCCAGCTATCTATCAGCTATCTATCCAGCTATCTATCCAGCTATCTATCCAGCTATCTATCCAGCTATCTATCCAGCTATCTATCCAGCTATCTATCCAGCTATCTATCCAGCTATCTATCCAGTCTATCGCATCCGCTATCTATCCCATCATCATCTATCTATCAGCTATATATCCAGCTATCTATCCAGCTATCTATCCAGCTATCTATCCAGCTATCTATCCAGCTATATACCAGCTATCTATCCAGCTATCTATCCAGCTATCTATCCAGCTATCTATCCAGCTATCTATCCAGCTATCTATCCAGCTATCTATCCAGCTATCTATCCAGCTATCTATCCATCTATCTATCCCCTATCCATCCATCTATCTATCCAGCTATCTATCCAGCTATCTATCAGCTTATCTATCCAGCTATCTAATCCAGCTATCTATCCACTATCTATCCAGCTATCTATCCACTATCTATCCAGCTATCTATCCACTATCTATCCATCTATCTATCCAGCTATCTATCCAGCTATCTATCCAGCTATCTATCCAGCTATCTATCCAGCTATCTATCCAGCTATCTATCTATCCATCTATCAATTCATAACTTCCTTTATCCTTCTTTCATCCTCATCCTCAAACCATTT